AAATTTAAATATATTCATAATTTGAACTTACATCTTGTTAACTTTGGCATCAGTGGAAAAGTAATTTAAATGCCGTTTGAATGATACAATACATTTCTTAACACATTCAGTACTTATTGAAAAGGACGAATTTGTGTGAAAATGTCCTTTTTGAACTTTTTTCCTCGACTTGAAAACTTAAATTTTTTGATGCAAAAAGTTTTTTCAAACAAAAATAATAGTAACTGCAAAAAGAATTTTTCAAAAATCATTTTGCTTATATTTTTTATGGTTTTTTAAAGGTGACACTGTCGGAAAAAATTTGTATGAAAAAGAGAAAAATATGCCTAAAATGCATGTTTCTAGGCATTTTCAAAAAATCATAAAAAATATAAGCAAAATGATTTTTGAAAAATTCTTTTTGCAGTTACTATTATTTTTGTTTGAAGAAACTTTTTGCATCAAAAAATTTAAGTTTTCAAGTCGAGGAAAAAAGTTCAAAAAGGACAATTTCACACAAATTCGTCCTTTTCAATAAGTACTGAATGTGTTAAGAAATGTATTGTATCATTCAAACGGCATTTAAATTACCTTTCCATTGATGCCAAAGTTAACAAGATGTAAATTCAAATTATGAATATATTTAACTTTTTTTTTGTGAAAATACTTTTGACCACCCTTGTATAGTGGTGCTTATTCAGATATTTTCAACACTCCTCACCGTAGTATATCTAATTTAACATCTCATTTTAAGCTTTGTTTTTACTATTTCGAATTTGGTCCTTCTTAATTTTAACCCCAGCGAGCCTATACATTTTATACTTACCTTTACATAAATTTTTAGTTAATAGATCTGAAATCATAACTTCGGTTGGAACATATTCAATATCAATGACTTTTTTTCTTACAAAAATCTCTTACGAAATTATACTTTATATCTATATGTTTACTTCCAGCATGAAAATTAGCATTGTTAGCTAGACATTGGGCGCTTTGATTGTCACTGTATACCATCAATGGCGCAGACTTAAAACCCATTTCACTTATCAGCTCCAGCACGTAAGCAGCCTTCTTAGCTGATGTTGAAAGCGCCACATACTCAGCCTTCGTGCTGACTCCCGCAAAAACGCTGCTCCAGCCATTAAGAACGCCCAACCGCTGAATGATTTGCGGTCAATACTGTCCCCTGCCCAGTCTGCATCAACAAAGCAGTGAACAGGCATACCAGTACGAGCATAGTGCACTTTTAAGCCCGAAGTTCTTAATAAGTATTGAAAGACACGTTTAGCATCCACCTCATGTTCCTTATGGGGGTACCTCTGAGCCAACTTTGCCACGGAATGTACAATGTCTGGTCATGTAGTCAATGCTAGGTACAGCAGTAATCCAATAAGTGATTGATACTGCTTTTGGTAGGCTCTTGGGCAGTCTTCCATGGTACACAGGCTCTGATAACCGACCTCCAAAGGTGTTGTATTCGGCTTACAGTCTTCCGTGCCATATTTCCGTAACAGGCCGTCAATATACTGCTTATGACCAGTTACCACGCTGCGTCTTTCCATTCCGTTTGACCTCCGTGCCCAAGAAATGGTTCAGCTCTTTGCCATCTACTACATCAAACCCCGGTGCTATTTTAAGTTTTATGTCGCCAAGGTCATCTTTTGTGGAACAAGCAATAATTAGATCATCAACATATAAGTTATCCAACCCGTAAAACGGTTGCACTTATGTAATTTATAAAGAAATTTTTGATTTCAATCTCAGCTATGTTGCCCTTGCCTTCAGCGACATTGCCTTTGCCCTTGCTTAAGATTCAGCCTTTGCCTTTTCCATTAACTTCGAGGGCCGCGCTTGACCGTCCTGCTAAGATAAACAAACCAATCGTAGAGTAAAAGCAAGCTTCCGTCCGAAGCCCAAACTTCGGAGACCGAATTTGCGTCCTAAGTTCCGATCATATTGCGTTCTGATTTTCAATGAAATTGCAACGGTCGGCATAATTTCATTTCACAACGAGATTCGACAATTTCAGCATAAGCTTTTATTTTACACAAAAATAAAAGTTCTGGAAGCTTAAGAAAGAAAAGCTTCTGGCCGAGAAAAAAATTAAAACATCCGCCAACGACACAAAACAAAGATACAGTGATCGTCATAAATTTAAAATGGAAAACATTAAATGATTTAATCCATTCCATGGCTCTTTTTTGTTCCAAAAAAGATTGTCGGTTTGGATCTTCACCTAATGACGTTCTTATTTACTGTCGTCTCTGCAACATAGTCATACATCCGAAGTGTTCTGGACTTGTTGGCAGAGTAAAAGACTATATTGATTCGTGGTTCTTCGTGGACTTGTGCCTCATGCGTTGAAATAGACCGTGATTTGGATGGCTATGTTGCGCTGACCAATGATCGTTTTATGAAACTGTTTGATAAACTTATGAGTTGCTGATTTCAAAGAGTTTTTGGCGGATAATATAAAAATGTCAGTAGGGTCACCTGAACGCAAAAAGACCGCTCCTTCAAAATCTGTTGAAGTAAAGGCATCAGTTCCAAATCCTAACTTAGCTTCGAATATTTTTACCCGATCGGTAACGGCAGCTATGTCGGCATCTACTGGCGCTGGGGGACCTAAAGCTTCACTGCCAGCAGTACCCATAGGTAGCCAAAAGCTCTGGGGGAGCCCCTGTTTCTGCTAGTCAGGGGTCAAACACTACGCAGCTTTCTGTGCCTACGGGTCAAGTTAGCTCTATAGGAGTCCCTAGTCTCGATAATCAGACGAACGATGTTCAGATTGCTGGTGGCGGAGGAATGAGCCTCTCGGTTGTTCCTTATAGGAAGCAATTATTTGTGTCTCGTCATCTGCAGATGTTTTGGAATTTACACACCAGGAATTCCCATCTCAAAACATCACAGTGGAAGAGTTTAAATTTCCATATGTTCGTAGGATATCCTCATTTAAAATATCTGCTCCTCCTGAAGTATTTAATGTACTAAATTCTAAATGTTTTTGGCTTAACGATGAATTGGTCATTGAAAAATTTTTTCCAAACAGACGGAGAACTAATAATAGGCCTTCCACGACAGTACCCGCGCCATAAAACTGAGCAGTTTATTTTTGGCCTATCAAAATGTTAGGGGACTTAATATGAAGCTACCCAAGCTTTATGCTGACTCCTCTGCTTTTTCTGAAGACATTCTGGCCTTTACTGAGACTTGGCTGAAACCGGAGATATCAGACTCTGAAGTTCTGTACAAAATTTTTATACGTATAGAACTGATCGCTCTCCTCATAGGGGGGTGGGGTGCTGATTGCCGTTACCTTTACTTTAACATCGGAGAGAATATACTTTCTTAATCCCAATGACACAGAATTCGTTGGTGCTAAAGTTTCTTTGAAATCTTTTTCTATTTATGTAACTTGTTCTTACATTCCACCTGGACCCGACTTAACAATTTATGAGCAACATTTGGCTGCAATAAAAACTGTTCTATCTCATCTTTCCGAAAGGGATCTTTTGATTGTTTTGGGTGATTTCAATCTCCCTGACATTTATTGGTCCCCTTTCACTGACTCACTTGTCTCTACCCCTTTATCTGACCATGACTTCGTGACGGTCTGTTAGAATTATCATTACAGCAAGTTAGCTTTATACGTAATTCACTAAACAGTGGAAGATCTTGCATTTCTTCAATGATATAAACGTCGCCCTTTTCATGCTGCATAGTCGGCACGAGCCGGATCGGACAACTATATCCTATCGCTCCATAGCAAGGATTAAAAAACTTATTTTCAACATAAAACAAGGAAAACGCTACAGTCGAGTACCTCGACTATCAGATACCCGTTACTCAGCTAAAGGGAGCAAAGGGAAGTGGAGATATGCAAGCAGCGAAGCAAGATCTCTACCCGCGATCTCAATATATGGTTACTTGGGCGGTAGACGGATTTAAGCGCTATGGGCGTTAGAGTGGGAGTGGCAAACTTTTTTTGGGTCAATCAATCGATAGGTATTGACGAGACTAATACATTTCAGTTACAATTTAAATTAAAATTGTGGCCGCCACAGGTATGGGCGGCTTGTTGGCGTTAGAGTCGGCGTGGCATATTCGCGTAACAAACTTGCGCTGCGTACAAGGCTGCGGAATCTAAAACTGAAATCCCAATTCTCTATCTTTGATAGTTTCCGAGATATTTAATATTTGCGATTTTTTGAAGTTTGGGTCAATCGATAGGTATTGTTGAGACCATTTCAGTTAAAATTTGTATTCTAGCACAGTCTTGGGCGGTTTATGGGCTTTACGAAACAAACTTGCGCTGTGCAAGAGGCTCAGGAATATTCATGCCAAATCCCAACATTCTGGCTTTTGTAGTTTCCGAGATCTCAGCGTTCATACGGACAGACGGACTTGGCTAGTGATCCTGATCTAAAATATATATGCTTTATGGGATCGGAAACGCTTCCTTCTACCTGTTACATACTTTGCGACGAATCTAGTATACTCTTTTACTCTACGAGTAAAGGGTAATGATTACTGGTGTTTTTTGACGTATAAACTTATACTCTTGGGATTATATCTTTTCAGAATTTCGTAAAAAACATTTTTAAAAATCGCACACATTATCATACAGCTGCCATTGGTGCGTTCCGATAGTTAATGTCAAATCGAATCAAAGACCGTTATATTTCGTTTTCGGTAAATATATAGGGCTGCAAATTTATATGGAACAATATCTTAGAATTTCTGTATTCAGTTTTTAGTTTAAGTTAGCTTAGTTTTAGATAGTAGGGTATAGAAACTTCGGCTTGCCGAATTTAGTTTTTTTTTTTTGTTCACGATCTCTTATCGTACATTTTATTTCATATTATTTGTCAGAATCTAAGATGTGTCAAAAGATTATAACATCGGACCGTAAGTTAAGTAAAGTTGGTTAACAGAATAACATGTATATGATAGTCGAGGCACTCGTCTATAGAGTTATCTTTTTTTGCACACAAAAATATTTACTAATATTTTTTTTGCAGGTTCATCAGTAAATATATCGTGTAATTACCTAGAGTTAACGACTGATGAATCAAAAGGAGTTTTCCATTACGAAGTACGTTATTCCCCTCCCGTTGATTCGGTTCATTTAAGAATGAACTATTTAAACGACCATAGGGATAAGCTCGGAGAAACAAAAACTTTCGACGGCATTACGTTATATTTACCAATTTTGTTACCAAATCAGATGACCGTCCTTGTTTCAAAAGTAGAAGATACGGAGGTGCAAATTCGAATTTTGTTCAAAAAAAAAGAGGACCTTAAGAATTGCATACATTTATATAATATTTTGTTCGACAGAGTTATGAAAACTTTAAATTATGTCAAATTTGACCGGAAACAGTTTGATCCCACACGTCCAAAAATTATACCACTGGCAAAATTAGAAGTTTGGCCAGGCTATGTTACAGCCGTTGATGAATACAAAGGTGGTTTAATGCTTTGTTGCGACGTTTCGCACCGTATACTTTGTCAAAAAACTGTTTTAGAAATGTTGGTTGATCTATATCAGCAAAATGTAGATCATTACCAAGAATGCGCCAGAAAGACATTAATTGGAAACATTGTTTTAACAAGATATAACAACCGTACATATAAAATAAATGAGATTTGCTTCGATCAAAGTCCGAAATCCGAGTTTCAAACCAAAATTGGGTCCACAAGCTATATGGAATATTACAAAAAATACCACAATATTAACATTAAAGATATTAATCAACCATTGCTTCTTAGTATAAAAAAATCAAGAGCAACACCTCATGACCAAGGAAGTATACAATTCTGTCTAGTTCCAGAACTATGTTATCTGACTGGGCTGCGGGATGAAGTTCGTTCAGATAACAAACTTATGCGTGAGATAGCTACTTTTACAAGAGTTTCGCCGAATCAACGACAGCTGGCGTTAAATAAGTTCCACGAAAATGTCTCAAAAAGTCCGGAAGCTCAAAAAATACTGAACAGCTGGGGTCTTTCACTAACCATAAATTACAATAATTTAAAAGGACGTCAAATGGAAGCAGAGCAAATTTATTTTTCGAAAATGGCCGTGTCAGCCGGAAAAAATGCGGAGTTCTCTAAATATGCTGTCAGCAATGAAATGTTGGAAGTAATTCACCTTAACAAATGGATTATAATTCATTTGAGGAATGATACACGAGCTGCAACTAACCTACTTGATAATATGAAACAGTGTTGTAAGCCTCTTGGGATGAACGTTTCTAAACCAACAATGATTTCTTTGGACCATGATCGAATCGATGCATACATCCAAGCTTTGCGACGAAATTTAACTATGGATGCACAAATTGTCGTCTGTATTTGTCATAACAGTAGGGATGATCGATATTCTGCAATAAAAAAAATATGTTGTTCGGAATTACCAATTCCATCACAGGTAAAATACCCGTTTAAAATACATTTTATTACTATAAAACTGTCTTGTAGTACCGTTCATCGCCTTTTGCGATAAACCAGCTCTCAAAAATGTCTAGTGCCTAATCATCAAAAATGAAATGAATGACGAAAATCACGGTGGCGCCATTTGAATTTTTTTTTAAAGTAAATCATGTTATTTTGTACATATTTGACCAACCTGGCTTCATCCGGACAGTAAGTTAGTTGTGGGAGTGTGCCTCCCCTCGGAAACTGCAAAAACTAGAAAGTTAGGAGAGTTTATTTCAGCAGGGTGCCATGCCCACTTAACTACGGATCCATAACTCCCTTAATTTTAAAAATGTCAAAGCAAAATTGGCTATTTTAGAGATATATGCATAAAACTTTGAAAGAACCGCTTAAGTAAATTTAGAATTAATTAGAAGATTATAGTTGTCATAGAAACAAAATGTTTTTTGATTTTCTTCACATATCTATCATTTCTTGTCCAAATTAAAGCGATATTTTCGTTTTACAACAGCTGACGCCAGGTTACATTTTTTTGCGTTTTCGCCTTACCTTAATAAACATTTTAAATAAAAATAAACTTGATATCTTTAGCACAAAATGCTGATATTGGTTTGTATCTCAACTTAAAAATTTTTTTTAAAAAAAAATAATATACGTGTTAGACAACTCACTTTAACTCTCGATTACAAGGACAACACTATTAATATAGAATGTTTAAACATACAAAAGCTTAGTACACACCAGTCCGTTGAATTTCAGGAACTCCTCTTAGAATGCTTTAAGACTCTCCCGTTTTGCAATTTAAAAGTTTCAACCTTACGTCAAATTTCTAAAGTCAGAGTAAAACTTATAACAGCTGAAATAAAGGTGTTGTCTAAGCAGAAGCGCTCTCTTTCGAATTTTCTTAAACGGTTCACTGAAGATTGGTCTTCTGTTTAAGTATCCTAGAAAACAGAATTTTTTGTTATACGACTAATAAGAAATTTGTTTTGGGCAGAAAAAGTGGTGAAATTCCCCATAGTGCACTCTAAAGTCCACAAACGCTTATACCGTTAAAAACTTTCTAGCGCCCTAAAAATAATTCAAATAGGACCGTTCTTTAAGTTATAAGCAAATAAAGAGAGCAATCTTGGAAACAGTCGCACTCCCCTTAGCTGAACACAGGGTATTTGATACTCGATAGCAAAGACTATTGCGTTCTCTCTTGTTTTGGTTGTGTTCAGCCCGAGACCATATTTTCTTGACTAATTTCCTATTGGTAGCACTAATGCATTGAACTGCACGTTTACATTTGAAAATCGTCGGCATACATATCGGCGTTACACGATTAATTAAGTGGGAGCGTAATAAGGATTCCCCAGTGGGAGTAAAATTATATAAAAACTTAATTTATATACCCGTTACTCTCAGAGTAAAAGACTTTACTAGATTCGTCGGAAAGTATATAACAGGTATTCGGAAGCGTTTTCGATCCTATAAATGCTTTATGCATATATGTTATTGATCGGTCTAGTCATGTCCGTCTGTATGAACGCTAAGATCTCGGAAACTATAAAAGCTACAAAGTTGGGACAGCGCAAGTTTGCTTCAGCAGGGTGCCACGACGACTCTAACGCCCATAAACGCCTAAACGCCCTCTCTTAAACCTGTCTAGCTCCCACACATTTAAACATTTTGTAAAAGTGTAAATGCAATTTTGTTTTGCTTATCAATCTTCATGCCAAAAGTCGGACCATCCATCAAAAAGTTATAAGCAAATAAAGAAATCGACGCTATGTGGCGCCGTTGCGTGGTGTGCAATTGCACTATGGGGACTTTGACCTGTTTTTTTTGGCATAAATGAATAACTCCTGAACTATGCATGGTATTTATGGAAGTCCATTGCTCTTTGAAACACATCTGTGAAACCACAAATTCTGCTGTGCTTCCTTGCCTGGTGAAGTCTTACAAACAGCTCTCCCTCCTATGTTTCCAAACCGAGAGCGATGGCTGCTGCATCCTTTTTCTGGCGTACTGTGCCTTTTAAAAAATATGTAATTTTTGACGTCCATTTTATTACCTTTTCGGCTCTACTTTTCTTTCGTTTCCAATTAAATCCAAGCGAACTTGTCCATCCATGGTGAAGATGTCCATTTTTCTATTGCAATTTTGGCAAAATTGAAAAATTTACGGAAAACACTCGCGCTTTCTCCTTTAAACGAGTTTCATTCATCTAAGGAGTATTGTCGAGGATGTGCTCACAAGTTAAAGCGAATACAGCACTCTGTTTGTCACGGCCGTAGGTTTGCTTGCGCCACACCTCTAACAGGGCCGCATTGCATATCGCGAGGTTGCTACATAAAAATGTAATTTTTGTAAAAAGTCGCAAAAAGCGCAGATTGAGGCTGGATTCTTTAAACTAGGAATAAATCACTCTAAAAGATGGACTTACACACTCACTCAACAAATTTCAACATTTTTTTTAAGCTCTATTCAAAGTGGAAATTTCATATAAAAAATTATATTAAGACATCACTTGCTAAATTTATAAATTGTTTGAAAAATACACACAAAATAAGGAATATATTCATTTTAACATATAGTACACACATGCAGAAGAAATATCCATTTCAAATTTGAAGGATTTACCTCTTGTCGTTCAAGAGATATAAGTTTTAGATTTCACAAAAAAACAAGGAAGAACGCTATAGTCGAGTACCTCGACTATCAGATACCCGTTACTCAAAGGGAAATGGAGATATGCAAGCAGCAAAGCGAAATTTAAATGCGCCACCTACCGGCGGTAGACAGATTTAAGCGTTATGGGCGTTAGAGTGGGCGTGGCAAAATTATTTTTGGATCAATCGATAGGTATTGACGACACCAAGACATTTCAGTTAAAATTTTTTATCTAGCATGCAAATTGTGGGCGTCACAGGTTTTCGCGGTTTGTGGGCGTTTAAGTGGGCGTGGCAAACTTTTTTTTAGGTCAATCGATAGGTATTGATGAGAACAATACATTTCAGTTAAAATTTTCTATCTAGCATCAAAACTGTAGGAGTTACAGTTTTGGGCGGTTTGTGGGCGTTAGAGTGGGCGTGGCAGTCTACTGAAACAAACTTGCGCTGCGTAAGAAGCTCAGGAATTTGTACGCCAAATCTCAATAGCCTAGCTCTCATAGTTTCCGAGATCTCAGCGTTCATCCGGACGGACAGACAGACGGACAGACGGACAGACGGACAGACGGTCAGACGGACAGACGGGCAGACGGGCAGACGGACAGACGGACATGGCTAGATCGACTCGGCTAGTGATCCTGATCAAGAATAAATATACTTTATGGGGTCGGAAACGCTTCCTTCTGCCTGTTACATACTTTCCGACGAATCTAGTATACCCTTTTACTCTACGAGTAACGGGTATAATTAGGCTCAGCGGACTCACGTGCTGTTCGCTTGCAGCAGCTGAGTTTGACAGCTGTTATTTTAACAGTGGCCTGTTAAGTTAACATTTCTGTTATGTAACATAACATTTTGATCTGTTCTTAATTCGATGACATCAACTTTTCGCAATTTTGAATACTTTTGAAAAACAGATTTATGCCAAAAAAACAGGGCAAAGTCCCCATAGTGAATTGTGAACAGTCGCTTTCCTGGATATCTCCATCTATCTCCTCGCACTCCCCTTAGCTAAGTAATGGGTACTTCATAGTCGATGGCATCGACTACAGCGTTTCCTCTTGTTGAACGTAGAATGTCATGATTGACAGTATCAAAAGCTTTATTGTAATCAAGCAGTGTCAAGCACTACCATATACTATACACTATACTTACTATACTTACTATACTTACTATACTTACTATACTTACTATACTTACTATACTTACTATACTTACTATACTTACTATACTTACTATACTTACTATACTTACTATACTACTATACTTACTATACTTACTATACTTACTATACTTACTATACTTACTATACTTACTATACTTACTATACTTACTATACTTACTATACTTACTATACTTACTATACTTACTATACTTACTATACTTACTATACTTACTATACTTACTATACTTACTATACTTACTTACTATACTTACTATACTTACTATACTTACTATACTTACTATACTTACTATACTTACTATACTTACTATACTTACTATACTTACTATACTTACTATACTTACTATACTTACTATACTTACTATACTTACTATACTTACTATGCTTACTATACTTACTATAATTACTATAAATACTATACTTACTATACTTACTATACTTATTATACTTATTGTACTTATTATACTTACAATACTTACTATACACTGGTCGGTATAAGTATTTTGACGAAAAAAAAGTTAAGCTTTGGCATCAATGGAAAGGTAATTAAAATGCAGTTTGAATGATGCAATATTTTTCTTAACCCATTCAGTACTTATTGAAAAGGATACATTTGTGTGAAAATCTAATTCTTAAACTTTTTTCCTCGTCTTGAAAACTTAAATTTTTTGATACAAAAAGTTTCTTCAAACAAAAATAATAGTAACTGCAAAAAGAATTTTGTAAAAATCATTTTGATTATATTTTTTATAATTTTTTAAAATCTTTGGAAACATGCATTTCAGCCATATTTTTCTCCTTTTCATACAAATTTTTTCCGACATTGTCACCTTCAAAAAATCATTATTTGTTCCCGACAATATATTACAATCTTAAATTCTTTTCCGTCACGGCATTATCAGCGAAAACCGCCTTAGCCCAATTTATGGCCACAGTCGACTGTCTGATCCAATTTGAGGACACTGTAAACGCTCCAGGTGCTCCTACGCCAACGTTATCCGCCTGTAAAATCCGTCGCGATCATTTCAATTCCTTATCACAAGCATATTACGTATGCTCCGAATGTGTTGTGGTTTCAGGCGAGAGCCCCGCAGACACCAAATCCATACTAAAATCCAAGTATTATTAAACGTACTCCAACAGGGCTCCTCCCAAATTTCTCAAGCTCCAACAGCAGTTTCCCCAACATTCCACGTATTAAAGCTATCGGCTCCCTCCCATCGACACAGACGTTTTCTCGGGCGATTATCTTCGCTGGCCGACTTTCCGGGACCTTTTCACGGCGATATACATAGACAATCCGAGTCTAACGCCCGTTAAACTTTTTTCCACTTAAATTCAAAAACTAGTGACGAAGCTCATTCCATTGTTTCGAAATCCCCTCTCGCCAGTAATGGCTTTCGCTCAGCCTGAAAAAACCTAACTGAGCGTTTCGAAAACAAACGATTGCAGGTAAACAGTACCCTGAAAACTCTCTTTAATGTGCAATCCATAGCACAGGAGTCTGGAGCAGCCTTAAAGGAACTTTATCGCACTATTCAAGGTTGCATAACATCCTTACAATTTTCCGGCATTAATATTGAGAATTTGGACCCTATCCTGATTTATTTGTGCTCGACAAAAGTCCCAAAGCTCACGCTCTTATTATTTACCCGACATAAAACCGAAATTCCTACGTGGTTCGAGCTTGATTTCTTTTGACTAAGCACCATCGATCCAAGGACACATATCGATTGGCAGTTGTTCCAAAAATAAATTTGTTTACGACTAGAATCGTTCCAGTACTAAAAGCCTGCGATCTGTGTTTAAAGAAGAAACACCCCGTGCGTAATGTCCACGCTTCCTCGAAATGACAGTAAATGATTGTTCAGCCTATATCCAAGGAAAACAGTTGTGCTGCAATTGCTTTACAAGCAACCATCAATTACGGGATTGCACAAGCGCTCACAACTGTTTTACTTGCCAGGATCGGCAACAATTGTATCAAAACAGCGGTCCTACTACTACGTCGATTCCATCCGACCCTCCAAGGCCAGTATCCGCCTCAATTCCACACAGATTTTTGTCCTATTCAGCGCAAGCTTCCAGAGCTGTGATCCTTCCAAAAAGTCCCTCCTACGAGTGATACATCCGAATGTTGGGCTATTCACTGCTCTTTACTTTGCACTCGATTCAACTGTTCCATTCGATTCCCAAAAACGGATTGCCCTACCTCGAGTTCATTGGGCAATAATCAAACCTCGGCTTAAGAGTTTTGTTTAAAAATTGTTTATCTCAAAATTGATTAAGAGAGTGGCTCAAAAGAGTCGGAAAAATAGGATGATGCAATTGGGCAATAAAATTTGAAATTCAAATTTGGCCGGAAACTGGTGCGTACGTTAGCGGTCTTTAGGGATCGCTTTGAGGATCTTGTGTTTACGTTAGCGGACTTTAGGGACCGCTTTGGGGATCTTGTGTTTACGTTAGCGGACTTCAGGGCTCACTCTGGGACTCTGAGTTTACAATATCGGCTTGGATGTTTACAGTATTCGTTTGGTGCAAAGTCAGTGAAACTGATCTGGGTGGGAATAATTTGGAAGCGTAGTTGAGAGAAATAGCTGACCACGGATTTATCTCGGAGTCAGGCAGGATTATTTGGAGATTGGCTATCGGCTGTTGTTCATAAATTGTGTAAATGTGTAATATTCACAGCGTTCACAATCTTTCCAAAGACTTGCCGCAGTGGTCATCACTGGCAAAAGTGTGAAAAGAGCCACAATACTCTCCTACATACGGACGACCGATCTTCGCTTCCATCATGCTTCTGAGCTTAGTTTCCTGAGGATACTGCTACGGGTGTGGAATGGGTGCAGACTGTTCGCGCCAAAATGGCGTTTAATTTCTGCAGGCAGTGTCAAGCGTCAGTTTTCTCGTTTGCACGCACTCGCTCCCTTACGTCGACGGTCCGCTTTGGAGCGCTTTAGTTAAGCTATGCTCGAGCAGTTCAATTTTCCAAGTGTCACAAATGTTTGTACCTTCGTTCTACTATTCCAGCGATCAAGCTTACCGATTAGTATATATAAAAAATGTAGCCAAAACTTGGAAATGATGCTTAAGTCGACTTTTATAAAATTGTTGGAAAATACTTGAGGAATATACGATACAGTGAAGAAAGATTCGTTTTTAAACCCTAGCCACTACAAAATTTACGAATTGTTCTAAAAGGCTCGACAGTAAAACAATTGTCCGTAGCTCCTCGTTTAGGTCAATTCCAACTGAAATTAGACCATCCAAAACTTCCAAAAATTCAGCAATAAAACTCGATATATTTTGGCCTTTTCCCATTCGCTTTCCAAGCAACTTTTGGTACAACTGTACCTTCCGTACTGGAAGCTTTGCCAATGCTTCTGGCGAAGTTTGACAATTTTGGATGTCGGCCAACTTCGATATTTTTACACTTAATGTAAATGTGGCCAAAGTCTTTTGGTCTTGAGCACTCCAATCGACGCCTTCAGGAGTATTTGTAGCAGTCAAATCTCCGGACGTTACAGTCCACAATCCAGAATGCACCAACACAGATTTCATTTGTATGCTCCACGAATCATTGCTATTGTCTGCTAACTTTTCTTTTTAATATAGACCACTCATATTTGTCTTTTGAGTTACACAAAGTTCATAGCTTTTAAACACTTTTCCGATTTAACCGTGCCTGGGCTCATAACCCCTATTGAGCTGGCAAATCTTATAATTAAAGCCGCCGTGCGTGCCTTCACATGAAGAGTTTATTTGCAACTAACTTAAAACTACTAAATACAACTATCTTACTTGGTCGATGCATCATCTTCGTAAGAGCTCGATGACACTAAAGTACATGCCAGCATGGTCAGACATCTATAAAAGCATTTTATTTTCTACACGAATTGCGCGAATTCTTGGTAACATTATTAAAGATTCGAATTTTTGACGTAACGTCGTCGCATGAGATTTCACCAGTTCGACACCATACCCAACTCGTTACCTTAAAAATGTTCCATTCAACTTTTATTTTACCGTTCTTAAAACAAATTTACATTTAATTTACAAATCATCCTGTATGCAAACGGTAAGTTTGAAAAAATGTTTAAATGCTCAAATATAAATGTGAATGTTATTCACTACATTTCATCAGACCAATTTCCTTCATTAATTATATAATTGAAGTCGTTTTAGTAATGACGGTTTGTTAAAAATGGCCAGGGGTCCTGGACAAGCGGACGAGGAAAAAAATTGCAAAGGAGCAAAGGCAACTGGGAAAAATGGGCAAAAGGCAACCGTGGTTATGAGATAACGGTAGAAATGGACGAACGGTGCAAAATGGGAAAAATGTTTTTTTTAAGTCCTTTTTAAGTTTTAATCTGACAGTTTAAAATAATTATTTGAAAAAAAAATTTTGCTGAAATCTTTCTCACTACAGTTAAAAGCCGTTTAATGAACGTGGACAAAGTCGTGAGTATATGCATCCAGCACATGTATTTATTGTAAAAATTTGTCTGAACAATGAAATTGCCTGTAACAACCATCATATACCTTTAACGTGAAAATAATTAAAATAAATGTATTAATTGTATTAAAAATTTTTCAGGTCATAATTGCGAAAAATTTGTTAAACGAATCTAAAAATCGTTCTGTTGTGCAAAAGATTGTGTTACAAATGAATTGTAAAATTGGAGGATCATTATGGACGGTTAAAATACCTTTTAAAAATGTCATGGTTTGCGGAATCGACTCCTATCATGACCCATACAATCAAGGAAGCTCTGTTGCTGGTAAGATAAATAAATCATTAACTAAAGAAGAAATAAATAACAAAAATCGTCGACGGTGTTGAAGACGTTTGGTTTGAAATCCAACAATTTGAAAAGTCCGCTAGGACTTTAATAATTTGTTGTCAAATTTATAATTAAAATAACATGAACTATATAATTTTAAGGTTCAAAGCTTTCAAAATTTTAGTTTCGCTAAAGTTTTGTTTATAACTTTCAGTGTTAACTTACGGTCGCAATTCAATTGTACTATTGAAAGCCAAATTTTCACTATTCAGTACTTGTAATTTTTGATAGGTAACTTGATAAGTAACGCTGACGCGTTTAAGTTATTGTCACTATCGAGCGAAAAATACATTTTATTTAATTAGTTTTTATAGGAAGCGTTTCCGACCCTATATATAGTGTATATATATTGGGTGGGCAAGAAAGTCATGTCGTTTTTTTTAGTAATCGTTTTTAATCTAATTTATTTACGACTAATCGAGCACCAGGGTCACACTTTTTAGTATCGTTTTAAAGCTTATTGTCTTAGGTACTATCGACGAAAATTTGGTAATTATTCGATAACATTTGTGGAAGCTATAGCAAATTAAACATGGAGGACCAAAGTGAGCATTTTCGGCATATTTTGCTTTTTTACTTCCGAAAAGGAAAAAAAGCGGTCGAAGCTCGCGAAAAATTGTGCGAAGTGTATGGTAAAGATGCCATGAGTGATCGCCAATGTCAGCGCTGGTTTGCCAAATTCAGGCTTGGAGATTTTGGAGTTAAAGACGCCCCACGTTCTGGTCGACCATCGGCCGTTTTTGACGAACAAATTCAGGCTTTGCTGGATGAAAACCGGCGCTATTCAACGCGGGAGATGTCAGAGAAGCTCAGTGTGTCGCATACAACGGTTGAAAACCATTTGAAGAAACTTGGCTACGTAAGCAAGCTCGATGTTTGGGTTCCGCATAACTTAAAGGAAATTCACCTAACTAAGCGTATCAACATCTGCTATTCTCTGCTGCAACGGATTAAAAACGATCCTTTTTTGAAGCGGATCATTACTGGCGACGAAAAGTGGGTTGTTTACAATAATGTCCAACGAAAAAGATCATGGAGCAAGAAAGATGAGCCAGCCCAAGCCACATCAAAGGCCGATATCCATCAGAGGAAAGTTATGCTGTCTGTTTGGTGGAATTGGAAGGGTGTAGTGCACTTTGAGCTGCTGGGACGGAATGAAACCATCAATTCAGATGTGTACTGTCGCCAGCTATCCAATTTGGCGGAAAAAATTAAAGAAAAGGAGCCGGCACTAGCTAATCGCAAGGGTATAGTCTTTCACCATGACAACGCTAGGCCCCACACATCTTTGGTCACTCGGCAAAAATTAACGGAGCTGAATTGGGAAGTGCTACCACATCCACCTTATAGTCCGGACTTAGCACCTTCAGATTACCATTTGTTTCGCTCTCTTCAAAACTCTTTGAATGGTAAAAACTTTGATTCAGATGAGGCTGTCGAAAACCACTTGTCTCGATTCTTTGCTGGAAAAGACCAAAAGTTCTTCGAGCGCGGAATTATGCAGCTGCCCGAGAGATGGTCATTAGTGGTCGAACAAAACGGCCAATACATAATTGATTAATTATAAGTCCTGATATAAATAAATCATCTTTGAAAATATTGAAAAAAAACGACATGACTTTCTTGCCAACCCAATACTTGATCATGATGACTAGCCAAGAGTATCTGTGTATTTGCTGGGCATGAGTCTAGGATGTGAATCGTGTTTACGAGAGTTTATGATTGGCAGAAAGGGGAGTGCGGTTCTGGGGTCCAGGAGGTGTTCCTAGCAGGTAATAAACTTTTCTCTTCTGTTTGTTGCAATTTTGATGGCTTCTGTGTTTCGGTTCTTATAGCACCTAAGTTACCTAAGTTTCTGCCCTAGGTCACTTCCCTCAAAATAAGGACCGAGTGGACTTTTCCAAAAAAAAAGTTTGGACTTTATTTGACAAAAGCTCCGCACAACTTTTTCATATAAAACCACGTTTGATATCGATTAACGATTAATCAAAAATCAATCATTGTTCACAACTTGACGTGGATTGTTACGACAAGAGTGCGTCGATGAACTTAAATCTTTGTATGGAGATGATGCACCATCCTATAGCACTGTGACCTGATATGGCAAGATCGTCATATGACATACCGTGAGTAAGAGTAATCCTTGGGCATTTCATTCACCAGCATACATTCGATATTGCACGAAAACATGGGCGTAAAAGGGTTTGCTGTCGTTGGATTCCGCAAAATTCGATAATCGCTCAAAAAAAGATTCTTGTTGATTGTTGTAAAGAAATTTTGGAAAAACACAATTGCGGTGTTTCAAAAGACGTTTATAAGATCATCGCAGGCGACGAATCTGGGACTATGCTTACGAGCCCGAAACAAAACAGCAATCGACTTTGTGGGTCTTCGAAGAAGAGACAAATACAAGGAAAAAAAGTTGTTTCTTTTGTTCGAATTTTATAAGGATGATTTCCAGTTTATTGAATGAATTCAATAAATGTTTTTTTATATCCATGTTTTTTTTTCCTTTTTTCAGCTTTTTTTATGCCTTTAGGTTTTAGAAAGTAGAATTTTTTGTTGTTCTGGAAGGTGTGTACTGGCAAAGCATAGCATGGGGATAACAGAATGATGGATCCTTTCAACCTTTAAAGTACAAAAATTGTATTCCCTAGCAACTATAATAGTCCATAAAGTACTGGATGTAAATGCGGTGCCTATGTCTGTTAAAATGCGTCGAGCGTCTCCGAAAATAGCTGATTGTTATTCTAACCTGTTGATTACCTCGTCTGTTTCTGTTGATCGCGTTGTCTAAAACCAAACGAATTTATAAAATCCATCTACCACGTCTAAAACATGGTTGTACAACTTTTGGGTTTCGGTGAGAGGTCCAACATGAGCAATGTGGTAAGTTCCCAAGTTATTAAATTTTGTCGATTGGCGCTAACACATAAAATACCTGTTTAATAAGATTTTTCAACTAGCTCTCCAGCACCATTCCTATTATGTCCGCATGCATGGATTCTGGAACGAATAGATGCTCTTTACGAAAAAATCATCGTAGCTCTCGACGCTATCGAGAACTGTTGTTTCAGCTTTAATTCTGTTAGGAAAAATTAAATTCCTGTACAAAAATAGGCAATCTGGCGACTCTTGGTGGGACATCGTCTTTCTTCATGGTCATCGTGTATGCTAAGCAGTCGGTGACAATTAAAAAATTGATTCCTAACAGGTAAATCCGCCACTTCTTTACAGCTTTGATTAAAGCTAATACTTCAAGCTCATAGATGACATATTTTTCCTCCCGCTGTGTAGTTTTTCTGCTCATGAATTCAACTACTCCTACGTTCTTCGGAGTCTTTTGATCGTCACGTGTAGATCACATAAAGGTTTTGTTGGAGTTTGCATGTTCAAATATACAAAAGTCACATGGATAATTGTGCAATTCATGTTTGTATGAATGTATGTGTACGAGAGGTAGACGCTCATTCCGATGTCTTGGTTTCCTAGGCAACCGCTTAAGGAAACGGGACTATCGTGCTTCTTTTTCCTATCTTCTCATTGTTCTTTTTCTCTCTTGATATTCTCGTTCACTTCGATTCTGGCGTTGAGAGCGTGCGGTTCACACAATCTAAGCTTGCATTATTATTTGTTCATTGGGAGGTTGTCTGTTTAATACTTAATTGTATTACATCTATTCATTAACAAAACCATAGGTTTCGTTGCCAGATAGCCTTCCATGATACGACGCAAATATGATGATAAACCCAAAAATCGCTTTAGTACCTTGCTGCTTCTGGGAACTGTCTTGACATGGTTGTCTGTGGTAGCACTCGTTCCGTTTTCGATTACGTAGTCGAAAAATTCGATTTTTCGCTTTAAAAACTGGTATTTTTCCCACTTAATGCGCAACACAGCTTTAGATGCGACTTCTAAATCCTTTCTTCAATACCGATAGTCGTGCTTCCTCATTAGTTGTTGGTATGTTCGTTATGTGTTACAAAGGAAGTTCTCTTTCTGGACTTCGATTGGCACAAATGACCAAATTGCTCAATCTAGGGTAGTGAAAACTTTTGAACCCTGCAAGCGATCTAGTTGTTGTCCCTCTTTATTATCAGGTTGAGCCTCCTATAATAGCAAGAAAAACGTTTTGAACCATTTTTTTGACACTAGCACAGAAGGTGAGCTAGTTGGAGTAAAAATGTCTGCCTTGAGCCATTCTTGAACTTGGTTTTCGATAGAACCCCGTTTTCGTAGGGTGTTCGCCTCGTATGTTGGAATATTGTTTTAATATCTTTCAATATTATTATACCCGTTACTCGTAGAGTAAAAGGGTATACTAGATTCAGGCAGAAGGAAGCGTTTCCGACCCCACAAAGTATATATATTCTTGATCAGGATCACTAGCCGAGTCGATCTAGCCATGTCCGTCTGTCCGTCTGTCCGTCTGTCCGTCTGTCCGTCTGTCCGTCTGTCCGTCTGTCTGTCCGTCCGGATGAACGCTGAGATCTCGGAAACTATGGGAGCTAGGCTATTGAGATTTGGCGTAAAGATTCCTAAGCTTCTTACGCAGCGCAAGTTTTTTTCGGCACAGTGCCACGCCCACTCTAACGCCCACAAACCGCCCAAAACTGTGGCTCCTACAGTTTTGATGCTAGAATAAAAATTTTAACCGAAGTGTATTGTTCTCATCAATACCTATCGATTGACCCAAAAAAAAGTTTGCCACGCCCACTTTAACGCCCACAAACCGCGAAAACCTGTGACGCCCACAATTTTCATGCTAGATAAAAAATTTTAACTGAAATGTATTGGTCTCGTCGATACCTATCGATTGATCCAAAAAAAAATTGCCACGCCCACTCTAACGCCCATAACGCTTAAATCTGTATACCGCCGGTAGGTGGCGCATTTTAATCTCGCTTTGCTGCTTGCATATCTCCATATAGCTGAGT